GTCAAAAGACCCCTCATAAATTACACGCGAACATGAATGCTGAACTTTTGACTACTTCTAGAATCACAGAAATAAAGTCCACAAAAACCTATTCAGGATAAATCTGAAGTATTTCATCTGGTCCAAAGTTTAATATTCTGGTTTTATTTCAGATTCTTCAACAAGGTTTTTTTAAAAAGGCCAGTTTTTAAACAAATCATACCATCTCCCTCTTTTCATTTGAAACAACTTGCCAAATTCAACTCACTCCACAAACCATTTCAGTCCTCACAAAACTACGTTTCTGGGGCACAAATATAACATTTGTCCAAAACACTTCATCCCAACACAGCTTTCATTGCAATACGGACTCCGACACTGTTTATGGTGAATTTGGCTTTCCAGTCTGGGTAGGACTGGTCTCCTTTCTGTCCAACAAATTGCTTTGTTAACTCATCACACAAGCAAGCAGTAAAGATTGTGTTGGCTTCAAAAATATCATACCCAACAGTGAAACAAGAAAGTATTCAAATCAGTGTGTGCCCTCTTCTCCTCATTCACACAAATTGTTGCAGTCCCTACAATCAAGCTAGAAGGATATTGTAGTGATGACAGTTCAGAACATTTCAAGCTAATTCATGGCTTTAATTTACTGAAGGCTGATACTGTCACAGGCAACACAGAAACAGGAAGGAACAGGAAGACTTACTGGGTCATGCAACAAAGCCTTTAGAGAATGGTCAGGATATTTCAACTGCCTCGTCATGGCATTTCTGGGATACCTCAGTGAAGAGCTGCCCAGACTAAGAAACACATCCCTTTTGGTACCAGTATAGGGTTTCATCTCTGGAAGGTGAGACTGACAAATTGGAACTAATCTAAGACTGTGTGGTACAGTCATCTCGCCTGCAGGGATGCATTTCAGCGTTCAGCTGCAGAATGCCAGCTTAAGAACAAGCTCTCAATAAAGGAAAGTTCAGGCCAAGCCTGGGGATGCACGACTTTTAAATCAAGAACACATTTTTTTTCTTAGTCTAACCCCACCTCCCTAGGGATGGTAATAGGTTCAGAAGATGATAATGCTATACCACAAACAGAGAAAGTCAAGAAATCTCTCTTCCCAGCACTAGTTTTCCTGTATTTCCTAAAACTGTTTCACAGTTTAATCCATCAGAGAGGGTGAAATCAGTGTTATGGAGAATTCACAAACTTTTTTTATTTTTTGCCATATTCTTTCACGAAGCTAAAGATCAAGTCATGCACCACCCCCAGCAAAAGGGGTCTTTCAATTCAGGTGAAAGCTGAGGACAAATTACCAGCCAGAACAGAGGGTAAATTATGCTGAAGACTCACTATTTTAGCTAGGTCAACCAATGGCATCTTCCAGGGCAATTTAATTAACAAACCCATGTGGCATATCATTCTCTACACACTGTAACTGCAAAGCCAGTTACACTTAGAAGTACAGCAATACCAGGCTTTAAAGACTTCAAGAAAGGGATGAAGCTGTCTTGCTGTTTTGGGAGAGACCCTACATCCTTCACCACAATAAAAAGCAGGTACCTATCATTATTCTGCATGTTAGAAAGAGCTGGGTATACCCATGTGGCAAGAATAGGACTATGGAGGTTTTTTTCACTGAAGAAAGAGTGCGGTATAGTAATCATCTTCACAGAAGAGTATGATGCTAGCAAACCAGCAAATAACAGCTAGCACCACAAGCAGGAGCAATGCCAATTAGCCATTCAGTACTTTGGCTTGGTGAGTGCCGGTGAATTTGCACCCCAAGTGCTCCACTTCTCTGCACCTGAACCTTGTACCCTGCCAATCCTGATCTACTGCAGCCTGGTTTGCCCACCATTTTTCACTTCTCAGCTCTTTTCAGAAAGAAACAGGTGAAAGCAAAAATTAAATGTTCTGATTCCTAAACAGTCAGTCAGAAATTTCACTGGAAATAAAGCCTAGTATAGATAATTTCACAAACTCTCTTGGTTTATGTACGTAAGTAATAGCTATTAAGAGATAGAACCATAGTAGTTCACTTTCTATTAAAAGATTTATGCTCTAAGATTACAATTAAATTGCAATTTTTTTCCATTTATTTAAAAAAAATACTTTAAAAAATTGTGTATAGACCTTCCAAACATCCTAAATTAGAGGGGATGCTTAACCACCCCTTTAAGTCATGTAAGGCACCTTGTCTTTTCATTCCTAACTATATGGGTCCATAAATACACTTCTTCAACTCTGGCATATACTTGAATAAATCACTAAAGTTTAGCACCCTGTTTCCATGCATCCTGATACACTAGGCATTGACGTTCATTTCCATGACCCCTTCTTTTCGAGCCGTCTGAATGTACACGCAACATGTAAACAACGTTCCTCACAGATCTGTCTGTGCCGCGAGGACTTGTGCTTCAGAGCTGTGATATTAAACTCACTTGTTGCTGGTTATGAACATTTAACCACAAGAAAGTCCCTCTAGAGTCACAACTCATTTGGTCTATTCTCTTGAGAATGAGCCACGCTTTATAGATAATAGAGAATTCTTGTCATTATTGTTGCAGTTTTGGCTTAAACTCCTAAACCTCAGTTCACAAGCACTCAGAACAAAGGAACAAGGAGAAAAGCATGGGACCCAAACCCTTGGTGAAAGTCCTGCATCCTCAAAAATCACGACGACAAAATTCCCATCAGCCAACTGTTACCTTATCATTGGATAAACGAGTTCCTGTTGTGATTGCAGAACTAGTATATCCCATCCCTTCTATGAGAACTGCTGACATACGCAGGCTTTTAATGGTGCCCACTGCATCTGGGATTTCAGAGGACAGCAAAGTGCATCTGACAGTATACTTTGCCAAGTGTACAAAGCTGTATACTGGTGGGGTAAAAAAAATCTCTCTCGCACTGGCAGGAGATCAATTTACAAACTCAAGCATGAGGTTTAATTATCCATTTCATTATCTTAGCTTGCATATCTCTGAATGTGAACCTTCAATGAACCAAAGAATAGTCACTAGCTGCTGCTTTGAAAAAGAGGGAGATAACAGGAAGTAGAAGTTCAAATGCCTAAAACTGCTCTTGCTGCATATAACACCACAGACCTTGTTTGCAAGAGCAGGGGGATTGTCCCCAACCAATAGATCTGTGTTATGCCATGTTATGTGGAAGAGTTCTGAAAGTCCTATTTATGTGCTAATCTGAACAAAGACCAAAAGAGATGAAACAGACTTATCTAGCCAATCACAGACAAGCCTCAGAGTTAAATTTTCAAATACTAGCAACTGATCCTTAGAGATTTTTTTTTTTTAATTCACACAGAAAATTCAAGCAAATAAATTGTGATGTGTTTGTGGATTTTGTATGAGCAGGAAATAAAGTGTTTGCTGTAAATTATTCACTCAGCACTAGTTAACTACAATGCACGCACATTACTAAGCTTTTTAATATTCTTCTCAAGATAATAGGTAGCATTTTGCTTATTACCCTCATTTTTAAGTTATTAGTTACATTAGGCCTTTTGTAAATAAAGTGAAGAATTGCAAGAAAATCAAATGCTCTTCCAACTACCTCATTAAAAGTCTCTTTAGTTCAGGAGGGTTGAAAATTCTGCATATCATGAAAGGCTAAAACAACAGTATACCATTGGTCTCAGTAATTCCAAATGAATTCACATGCCCTTTCATAATACCTGCGTTCCCAAAAGGCTTCTCAAGTTATGAGCCATATGCATGTCTGTAAAGCTGCAAGTGTCTCAAAAAGTATAAACAATAGTGCAGGAGAAAAACCTACAGAGCAAGTGAATTTATGGAAATTATGGAAAACAACAGCTACTTTATTACAACTGGGTTTACCTATGTGCAGGGCACTGGGAACAGAGTAAAGCAATGTAGTACTGGATTCTAGAGCCATTTTAGGGCTTTATTCCTGTAAGGTGACATAACTTTTATGATAAATTCCTAGTGCTGTCAGACACCATTACTGCAATATCGCTCCCTGGTTTTGGATTTCCCAAGAGTTGAGAGAGTATCAGTGTGTCCTCAGAAGTTTCACTTATAAAACATGTATATAAGCACTGTTGAAATCACCCACGCAATTCCCTGCTCTTTCAGTTTAGTAAGTGGCAAAGCACAGGAGGGCTAAGAAGCACATATCACAACAAAGAACAGAGCCAGCAGCACCAGTTTCAGCAGCTTCTAGCTTCTTCCTCAGTGGTCTCCTCATCCACACAATAACCTGGTCTTATTCTGCTTAGCAATGCAATACCTAATTAGATCAAAGCTCAAGGTAGCCTGGCTACAGAGTGTATTGTGTTATTTAGTCTTGCGCTGTAAGCAAAACCACATACAGTATTATTACATTTCTCAGGGGCTTCTCCAGAGAACTATGTGGTACATGTAATTGCCCCCACAAACAAATCATCAACTAATCAACTGCTTTTCATTATCACCTCCAGGAGCACATTTATTTTGTAAATAAATGCATTAAGAGCAAACAATTTTAGGTAAAACAAAAGATTATCTGAATACATTCTCAATAGAGGAGGTGGTAAAGTAGTAATTCAAATACTAAAATGAAGCAAAATTAGCATAGGGTGGAATGATTATTCCATTCCATGTTTCCCTATCTATTACAGTACAATAATAGACTGAAATCTGTGACTTTAATGGATGATCTGGGTAGTTGAAGGGAACTGTGATTGACTGACACATTTACATAGAGGCTGATGAGCAGCATAATGAATGCATTTATAAAACACATCTAAGGTCTAACTCTAAGCTGCCTAACTCCCACACCTAGAGAAGGCTTGCTAGATACCCTGCTGTCTTGGAGAGTTGCTCTCTACCTCCTGAATCAAGCAAACTTGCCATTGATCCTTCCTCAATGGGAACTTCAGGAAGCATATGGCCACATGAGGAATGAATTGAAACAAGTCATGTAAGATTCAGTGGCAAAACAGTGCAGGATGTATAAAATATACATAAAAATATGCAGATTCATACTCCACACCATACCTGTAATTTCCTAGGTATACTCCATCAGGATTGAGCATGGGTGCAATCTTGAAGACCAGGTGGTCTCTCAGTACTTTCGCGATAGGATGCTGGCTCACAAGGAAATCAATTATACCTGAGAAAAATGAAAGCAGAGTTTGAAGAGGGGTTTTTATGACATTAATGATTTCCAGATATCTGAAATTTCACATATAAAAGATTAGAGCGATCATTCCTCTTGGTTCCTGGCACTGCTCCTGCTTCCAACAGAACAAACCACTTGCAATCGCATAGCACCTGCCACCTTCTAAAAACTCCAGAAATAAGAACTTTAAGGATAAATACTTTAGTCCATCCTCATAGTGCAAATACAATATGGCTACATTATCAGACACAGTCAAGCTTCCACAGAGGGAAAAGTTACTGCTTATCAGCTGAGCCATAATAACAAAACGTTTCTCCTCCTAAGTGGTGAAATGAAGTAAAACCTACTAATTTAAGCCTAGCACCTTACATATCCAGCATGCATACATGGGCACATACTGCAGCTCAGCTCATGAGTGGTAATTTGTTGAGCTGAGACACCTCAAATTTGTTGTATATGCCCAGACCTGCCCTTGACATATAAACACAGAGTTCAGACCATCTGCATGTATAAAGAGGTATAAAATGCCTCACTAAAATTGGGAGAATTACATAAGCTCTGCACCAGGCACAGGGAAACTGTGGGATTGATAGACTGGAACTTATAAGGTCAGATTCTTCACTCACTCTACACTGTACTGTCGTGGTTTAGCCCCAGCCGGCAACTAAGCACCACGCAGCCGCTTGCTCACTCCCCCCTCTCCCAGTGGGATGGGGGAGAGAATTGGTAAAAAAAATCATGGGTTGAGATAAAAACAGTTTAATAGGACAGCAAGAGAGAAGGAAACAACAACGATAACAACAATAATAACACCAACAAAGGGATGTACAAGAACAAGTGATGCCCAATGTAGCAATTGCTCACCACCCAGTGATCGATAGCCCGTCCCCGAGCAGCGATTCCTGCCCCCCCACTAACTCCAGTTTATGTACTGGGCATGATGTTGTATGGTGGGGAATATCCCTTTGGCCAGCCTGGGTCAGCTGTCCTGGCTGTGTCCCCTCCCAGCTCCCCGTGCACCCCCAGCCTTCTTGCTGGCAGCCCAGCACGAGAAGCTGGACTGTCCTTGACTGCTCAGCAACAACTCAAAACATCAGCACGTTATCAACAGTTTCTCATCCCAAATCCAAAACATATCCTCACGCTAGCTTCTGTGAAGAAAACCAGCTCTATCCTGGCTGAAACCGGGACATACACCCGTAAAAACCAGAAGTAACTGCACCTCATCAGTGAAGTTCCTTTAATGTAAAACCAAAGCAAGTGACCGGGGAACCAGACCCTAAATGCCCTTCCTTCGGGCAGAGTCACAGCACCAGACCCACAGGAGCTCCTGCCTCTGGGCATTGTGCTGAGGGAGTGACTAAACATCTCCTTGCTCCGAGGCCGGTGCTGGGGCAGGAGGCAGGCAGTCTGATACTTAAACTCATTGCTTACTCCTCCATTGAGTTGGTACTGACAGAAACAGCTTCCAGGGAATGGATGTCGAGATAAATTGAGTTCCTGTGTAATCTCAGGACACCTACAGACAGATCATGACAATTTGCTATTTATTGTAAGGTCCATCCTGTGAAGCAGGAACCATTTACTGAATTTCCCCAGAATAAATCAATCGCTAAGCTCTAGTAACAGGATAAAATTAAGCAGAGAAAAATTAGGGCTGATCATGAGTAAAATTTCACTAATGGCGAGCTCTATTAGACTGTGGAATTGTCTCTCCAGGGGAAGAGTGGAATCCTGTCATCAGAAACGTTTAGCACTGGACAGGGCAAAGCCCTAGGGAATAGATATAACAAGCAACAATTCAGCATAGAAGAGATGGCATGGGCTAACTAGCTGACTTCAAAAAAGCTGACTTTAGACCTGATTTTTTGTGATGCAATCAAAATCCTTAAAAAGAAACTAAAACTTGGGTACATGCCAAGTTAAACATCCTTGTTTATAGCTTGGCTGAAACATACATTAAAGATGGGACCAAAATCTCACATTCTGTACAGCTCCTTCATTTAGCCTAGTTCCTAAGGCCCATTTTGTATTTCAAATACTAACAAACCTGAACCTACACTTCTGCTGGAATGAATTCTAATTTGCTGAGGCACATGGGCAAAAATGAGGCTTCTGATATGTCTATGATGACCAAGGTATAACTGAGTCTAAACATCAGCAATTTTTTCACCTATTAGTGACTAATCCTGAAGAAGAAAAAATCCCCTTCTGTATTGAGGTCTTCCACTTGAGAACAGACTAAAGCTCAATTTCTGAGACAAACTAGCATATACATAATTATATTGCTGAGGAAATGTTTCTGCAATTACCTCCTCCCAATGAAGGAAACCGAACATTGATCTGCTTTTTGGCTGGTGTTGTGTCTTTTGTTCATTATACAACAGCAAGAACATGAAGAAATGACAGGGACACAGTTGGGTCCTGAATAACCAGGTTTCCTAACTGGATGCAAACATGAAAGGCTTAGCTATGTTAAACTGCTGCTCTAACTGTTTTCTGGCAGTGTCTAAAACATAATCCACAGTATGCTCACCTGGAGAGCTCAAAACTACTTAAAGTGATACAACCCCATACATAGTCTATGGCTTCTCAAAACACTATGCTGGTTTTAGTTTTAAAGAGCTTGCAACTAGACTCAAAACATCACATTAGTTTGTGTTTTCTAAAACACTTGGAAGAGTTAACTATTCAGAAATCAGTATGTCCAGAACATACTTTATCTTAGGGCAGGTATGATCTGTCAAAGCAACCACAATAAAAGCGGCATAAGTATTGCATTGTGTACACGATCATCACTTCACCGAAGACCTTGGTGGAATAGTTTTGCCATGAGATTTGGCAGTGCACCAAGCATGTGCTTGTGACAGCTCTTCTTACAGCAGGCAGGACTGCAAACACCTCAGGGATAACACGACTGCTTTTCATTCAGGAGGTAACAGAAGAGCCCAAACTCTCAAGCTTCGGTCTAGCTGTACCTGTGCCAGGGAAGAGGCTTGCCCAGGTCCTGCTCAGTTTGCTCATGTTATTGATGCAACCTCAGTCACAGAGCTTGGCAAAGGCGTCTTGGCAACTAGAAGCTACAGTTTTCAGCTTCATGCAGGGAATTATTATTCCCTAACCAAGAACTTGCTGTGTATAAACACATAATGGGTGAGCCTCTGCTCTGCATGGTTCACTGTTGGACCAGGCACACCAAACTAAAGGAAAGAGACTGACCTTGGGCACCCAGCAGCATGCTAGCAAGAGATCCAGCATTTCCCAATGTACCACAATATATTAGGGGGTATTTCAGCCAGGTTCACCCAATTTAAAGAGATTTACTGTATTTTCTTATTTAGGAGACAGTTAATTAAATCTGAAGAAGTCTTACCCCATGATAAAAATACAAAACAAGAGTTCAAAATGACTCACAGAAGTCTCACCTGGAAGTAAAGACAGTTCCCAGAAAAATAAGAAAACCATCAGATGAAAGCATATATCTACATATACAAACCTCAATATAAAATTATTGTAAGCATCTAAATATTCAATACAATTAGCAAATAGCTTTGTCTTTCAGAGGAACCCAATAGTCTCAGGATCAATAACATTTAAAGTAAAAAGACAGCTATCAGACTATTAAAAAAATACCACTGCAGAGAATTTGGTCCTCCTGTTAATAAATCAATACAAACTAAATTTTACAGCTTCTATAATCAGCAAGAGACATATCAGTGTATCTCATTAGGCCAGGGTTAAGAATTTGGCAGCAACCAAAGCCCATTTAATATCATTTACTTCAAGGCAGACATGGCAATACAACAGATGCCCTAATTTATTTGTTGATCTTTGTATTAAAATAACAGTTTGCTGGTAAACAGGAAGGGTAATGATGCCAGTCACCCTTGTTAGTGGCTAATAATTGCTTAATTTGTCCACTAATTGACCTGTGCTACTGTTGAAGCACTGGATCGTGTTGCAGGGCATGAAGTAAACAAGGCCACTGTAATGTTACTTTAGAGAATGACTTCTGGAAATAGAACTACTTATTGCTATAAATTTTCTCTTCACAGATGAGCAGATTAATTGGTCTGCCAATTAGTCTGCTATTAAAGAAAAAAAGGGCTGCCCACAGATTGGTTGGATCTTCGAACTGCAGCCCCAGTTTGGGTCAAATGAAATAATCCAATCTGAGTCAGTCACATCAGCTATGAAAAATAAGACAAATATTATTTAAAAATGAATCTGTGTGCCTAGAGATGAAGGAAAATAGTCCAATAACTAAGTATTAGCTCTTCAAATGACTTTAAAATAAAACGGAGAACATGGTGAAATGGGCCTACTCAGGCGCTTTATAGTGTGTAAAAGTTCTTCAATTAAAAGAAGCAAAACAATATATGTTATTTTCATATCATCCTTTCTGGAAATTAAAATCATTATTTTTCAAATAACAACATGCAATTATAGATGCTGCCTGGAACCAGAACAGCTCAGAAATCAACATTCAGCCATGACATAAGAAGAGGCTTATCCATAGTGTACTAAAAATCAACCAAAGTCTTTACATTAACTTCAAGGAGTTTTCCATAGCTGTGGGGGAAAGGAAAGAATCAAAAACAAGGATAAAGAAAAACAATGCTGACAACTGTGAGTCATTAGATACACAGTCACAATGGCTCCAAAATTTTAGCAGTTTTTTACCAGTCTTTCTTGGTAAACACAGCTTCAAGGAAACTGTGATAAATCAGGACCAAATCTCTACTCTGATTCACTTCTCTGCTATTACTCTTTCGCAAGTCTAAATGTACTTTCTCAAATTTCTCTCGCCTTCTGCAGCTCCTCACCTCTCACCTACTCCAACACCAGATCCTGTAGCATCTCTCCACCTGCCCTAATCCAGCTCAAATTATCTATTGGTGCTTCACAAGCAAGTTGATCCTTCCCTCTCCCATCACGTGTCAAAGCAACCTTCTCTGTTCACATGATTTCCATTGTTCTGTGAGGGTGTT